CACATACTACACAGGAGAGAACCAACAAACAACTCTACTCACATATGACACCAAACCCTGCAGGACTTGAACTCGGGCCGCAATGGTGAGAGGCAGCCCATTAGCAGCGCAYGCCACCGGCGCTTCCCTGTTTTAATGAAGCTAATTCTTTTCTTACGAGGTGAAAAAAGGTGAGTTATTATTATCAATGGCCCCTTTTGAATAGACCTCTTTACCTTGGGCGTAATGTATTCAGACTAGTTACATGTCATTGTTTTGAGAATAAGTTTCTTCGTTTGAGTTCTATCCATATTCATGTCATGCACAACTGTTAAATAAAGTAATAATACTCTAGGGAATGACACATGGTCTGAAATGGGAAAACCCTTATGCCCTAGATATTAAAACGAGAACTGTTTATTAGCTGATCCAGTTTGAAAAAGTAAGACAAGCCTTGTCGAACTTCACAAATAATCAAACTAATTCAAAGGTAAATTTTGGTTGGACTTATCCCAATTATTAGTCAAACAAGAGAATTAAAACAGGAATCCCCCCCCCCCCCTTTTTTTTGTCAGGAATGCAGTACTAAGAATAGCACAGCACTTACAATATGTTTTTTAAGAGTTTTATCATACCTGCGCCATGTTACGAGCATGAAACTCTGCCACACTCCGGAGGGTATTAATCCAATGTTGTCTCTGTTTTGCATCGTTAGCTGATAAGAAAGAAAAGAAAGTAAAGCTATCATTTAAGGAACATAAAACATGGGAGCACATCTCTGTACTGTGAAATAAACATGCAGGGAGCTGTAGAGCATGAGAGAAGCAAGCTTAGAAACACAAGGCATAGCCAAGTCAGGGCCCGAAAGTAACTTTTGAGCTAAGTGATCCTTTGGACAACCATGTTCTAATTCTTAGGCGTCCAGAGCAAAACCTAGGAGTCCCACTTGGACTCCGTTTTGTAGAGCCTGAATGACAATGGTCAGAGGTTATCTATAATGCAGAAGATGCAATCAAATTTGTCAAATTTGAAAGTTTATCAGTTGAAAAATGAACTTTCTAGGTTTTAAGAAGAAATATAATTTAGAATTATATTTGGACTTTACGGACTCTTTTATATTTTTATGAAAGAAAACACCTTGGCAAAAACGTATCGTCAGAAGGACAAGCACATTCCAAAATCTAGTCGTCATTTTCAAATTTTAGTCGTCCCTGACGACTGGACGACCGCTAATTTCAGACACTGCCAAGTATTTCTCTTGCTTTTCAAGTGCTCTACAGCTCCCATAGTGTTCCCATATCACAGTACAGAGACATAAGCAGCCGTTTTATGTTGCTTTTATAAAATAGTTTTGAAAGACTTTGCAAGAGCATTTCTCTGTCCTCTGATACAAACACAGTAGCCAGCCAATCAGCTTGCACGGTATAAAGTGCATTAAAATTAAAAGTATAAGTCCTCCCAATATAAGATTATATATATTGCTTGCATGAGTAGTACCTCTAAGCTTAAAGATATCCCCATTCACAGCATTGACGCTAAATGTGAAAGAGTCTTCATCACTGGGGGACACCACAGCACCCTGCAGGATGAATGACATATATTAAATAAACAAACAAATAACCAAAATTAATAATGTTAATAAATATTGTTTAAATTTGGTAGGCAATAACCCGTGAAAGATTACTGTTATCGGAATGAATGCAGGAAGAACAGAGCTATTTTAGGTAAAATAGGTAAAATGCAAAAGCCTGGTTTTAATTCACTTGAGCTAAGCRCCCAGAGCATTTATATCACAATACATAGTCATTTCATGTTGCTTCCTGAAAACATTTTTGAAAATTTTTGCACAAGCATGTCTCTGTCTTCTGATATAAACATATCATCTAGCCAGACAATCAGCTCACATGTTAAATATTTTGAATATTTTATGAAATAGGATTTAATCACTTACAGCCAGGTTGACAGACCCTCTTGGTCCTTGTTTTTTCTTTTCTTTATCCTGATAGACAAATAAGAAAAATGTTAAGTAAATAGTATTAAATGATAAAAAATTGCAGCAAGCAAAGAGGTACATGGAAAAGAAGAAAGTAAAAAAAAGAGAGGAAAAACAGAAGAAAGAAAGAAAAATGGAAGGAAGGAAAGAAGGAAGAAAGTGATAAAGGAAAGAAGTAAGGAAATATTTTTAGGCAAAAATTTAAAAAATAATTGAAATCCTCTAACAACTAAAAACTTTCATAGGATTTTCTAATATGACGTTCTATGCTGTAAACACCTAATTGAAAAAACACTGTTGGGTTCAAAAAAAGGTTATATCATCAAAGCTAAGACCGAAGGGGAGCATGGGAAGACAAAATACYGCAGCCAAACAGCTCCCCAGCGCATTAATCTTTGGCTTTGACATGTTAATCAAGGTCGACCGACTTTGCTCTACTGTGCATTTTTACATGTCTATATGCAAATATAATACACATTTTGGAGTACCCAAAATCCTTTTTGGTCTTAGCTTCGATGATATGACTTTCTTGAACCCAACTACGTTTTTTCAATAAGGTGTATATGTACCCACCACATAATAGTCTAATACTCCAGTATCAGGGTCTATGGTAAACCATCTGTATTGCCAACCTTTAACATAATTGGTCCATTTACTCAACTGACCTTCCATTGGTTGCCTAGGTGAATCAAAATAAATGAACACACAAATAAATAAATGGGAATCATGAGCAACATAGCTCTGTACTGCACTTGCCTCTCACCTCTTGGGTCTTTGGTTTTAATGTGCTATTGATGGATTGCAAGCATTCCCAAGAGAGTCAAAAGACAAAAGCATCTGGCGGCCATTGTGGTGCCGTTCACAATGGGTGCTAATGAGAAATCTTTTGTTAAATAGCACCAACATGGCAGCGATGACGTAACGTGCAATTGAAGAATTGGACTGGGAATCACATATTAAAGAAGGTCTATCTCTTGATTCTTAATACACTAAATATTTCAGATTTATCTGTGAGTTGGACTTGCTTGTTATACATTCAACATTAATCTAATTGAACACTGAAGCATCCTAAGCCATGCAGGAATAACTCACAGATCAAATCGTTTAAGTTAGTGTAATGCTTAGTCCAGGAATTAAACCCAAGACCACAGAAGTGAGAGGCAAGTGTATTTCCACTACAACACCCTTGAATCCCAATTGCATAATTTAGCATGCAGTTAATGCCATTAATTTGAACTTGATTTCAACCTAATTGAACCCTGAAGCATCCTATTAGCATTGCAGAAATAACTCACAGATTAAATAATTTCAGTTAGTGTAATGCTTAGTCCAGGAATTAAACCTGAGACCACAGAAGTGAGAGCCAAGTGTATTTTGCACTACAGCACCCTTGAATCCCAATTGCATAATTTAGCATGCAGTTAATGCCATTAATTTGAACTTGAACAACGTTGTTCTAATTTTGGTGAACTACGTATTTTTTTAAATTGTAAACGCCTGACATGACAAAAATCTTTAGACTTTTAAACTCCAGTAACCAATGAATTAGATTTTTCTTCAAATAAAGTTAAGCTTCGTTAATTATTAATCAATCAAAACTATAGCTATATTTTCACATTTTACAACAACAATCAACATTTTATAATACAATCTTTCATATGTATTTTCTTACAAAATAAAGACACAATACTTACCTAAACTTATTTTCCTCCTCCTTTTGAAAAGACTGATGATTAGATATAGGAAAAATAAAAATACGAAGATGAAAATTAATTTAGGATTTATAACGAAATTCTGAACATTTTAGGACAAAACATCTGGACTCGGGAAAACATGAGTGAAAAATATTCCTGGGAAAGGCTTTAGAGGCTTTAGAAGTTGGGAATTGGATGGGATACCTTCGCTTTTTCTAATACAGATAGAATTGCTATTCTTTCTTCCTCTGTGTAGATAGAAAGGTCGATATCTCCCGAAGGGTCGTGAATCACTGTAGTAGTGGACGCCATCTTGGAATATCCAAAAGGGAACACAGGAAGCCCAAGAATGAATATAGCTATACTAGATAAGGGAGGGGAGAGTAGGGTTACTTTGGTTCTCCAAAATCTAACTAGGAGGAACGTGGGTTCTGGGTACGAGATTGAAATGTTTTCCATTTCAGACCACGTGAGTGCACCCTTGAGTATCATTTCTTTGCTAAACAGTTGCACTTGAGAAGACAGATGAATATGGGTACAACTCAAATAGAAAAATTCATTCTCAAGAGAATGACGTATGGTGTAAACATCCCGAGGCAAAGAGATACATTAGGAAGGGGAGGCTAAGTTAATGCTTTGGTTCACCGAAACTGCAGATTAATACATAAGGGACATATTCAGTAAGGATTTCTTGACAAGAAAAATGTAAAAATCTACGAATTTAAACGTTTTAGAAAAGTTTACAAATAATCTAGCAATATTATAGTGAGAATACATTTTACCAAGCGAAACAAACGTTTAACAATTTAGGATGTCGAATATTAGGTCAAATCAGCATAGATATTACAAGAGGTTCATTTTGAATATTTATAAACCACCTACCTGTACTGAGTAAGTGATAGATGAAAAAAAATTACACTGTAATGTTATGGTCGAGAATTGTTGCCATTAAAAAGATGAATATGCTGCGGACAGAGAGCTGATTTAGTGAGTGACCTGCTGTCTCGAAAGAACGATGTAACTTGATCCTTAATCAATAACAAACTATTAGATCCCGGAAATATATCTATTTCGTTTTTGGAAGAAAGCCACAGGAAGCCCAAAAAGTTTCCTTCTCATTCACTAAAGTGAGTTTTCTAATGGTTTAATGAATCCTTAATAAGTTATATATGGTATTGAAACCAGAGTTCAAATTAAAAACTGAGGACAATACGAGAGTTTTTGAGTGGCTAGTTGACTAARCTTTCCACAAAAAAATACAATATTGCTAACGGAGTAGACTGCAAATGAGTACAAACGTATTTTATCGTGGGTGATAGTAGTCTTCTTTGCAGCCGTTCTTAGTGTCGGTCAGAAGGGATTTTCGAACTTATTAACTACTGAACAGTTGCAAAGAAGGCCATATCAAACAGTCCCTATAAGAAAAGAAAAGAAAAG